GGCATGCCTTCACCTACAAGGTCTATGCTGACAAGAGGCTGGATGCACAAGGTATGAGCCAGGGTCCTAGAGTTGACCCCCAAACCCCTACCAGCCGGAAGAGTGCTTCCCGGCCCTGCGCCTCGGCCCCTCCTGCCTCCCAGGGTCCTTCTGGTATTGACGGATTAGGAGGTCAGGAGGGGACCCTCGGTGTAGCAAAGAGGCCACCAAGGTCCAGGCACCCCTGCCCCCAGTTACAAGGGGTCGGTGGGGGTGGGGACTGGTCCTGGAAGCTAGACACCCCCCCTGCCCCCACCCTGGTCTCTTGCAGCAGGTCTGGAGTATGGAGACCCTGAGATGATAAAGCACACTATCCCCATGGGAAGGTCAGGACAGAGACCCTGAGATAAACAGTGTCCTTCGGTTCCTGGTATCGAACAGCATTATACATTTTGTCCTGTAATTTCCTTGTCTCTAAAGCTTTCTTTTTTAACCTGATTACTTCCAAGAAAAAGACTCAGATGGTAATAGCTTTTAACAGCTTTCTTTTTACACCTGCTAACCTTCTCTTTGTTAGAATAGCGGTTGGCAACCCCAGTTGTATATTAAGATGCCCTAAAGACTCTTAAAATGCTGTCCAGGCCCCACCCTCAGAGATTCTGCAGTAGTTGGCCTCAGTTTGGGCTCGGCAGGATGTGCCAACAGCTCCCCAGGCAATTCTAATATGCTCTCAGGAGAAGCAGGGGCTGGGAGCTGCCTCTGGCTGCTGCTGGGCAGAGAGGGGAGGCTCAGGGTGACGAGGAAGAAGAGGCCAATGCCTCAACCAACTTGCCCCTCGAGGAGGTAGGAGGGCTTGGGGAGGAGGAAGCCACCTGGTCTAACACATCTACCCATGGGGTTGGTTGCTGCCAGCTCCTTGCATGTGTGGCTGAAGACCCAGGGCCCACTTGCCCAGGCCTACCACCTGTGCCCGCCGTAGGCTCCCTGGGCATGCTAAGCTGAGTGCAGAAGCACTGGCCTGGCCTGTGCAGGGCTCCTCAGGGGCCCCCCTCCCACCCTACTTGTCTTGTGCTTTCCCCAGTTGAGAAGGTGCCTTAAAAACCTGAGGCTGCTGTAGGTGTGTGGACTGAATCGCCTCCAGGCCTCTCAACTCTTGGGCATCTGACCATGTTCACCCAAACACACTTGCCGCCTGGGCACTCTCCATCTTTTTTCCGGTTTGGATTCTACACTTAGTGCCGGGGGACTGTGCTGGCCAGGGCTCACCACTGCTGGCTGGCATCCCACCCACTTCACACCACTTGGAAGAGATGTGGCCAGCACCCTCCCAGTGTCGAGGGCGATGTCCCTGGGACCTGGTCATTCTGGTGCCTGGAGCCTGAGGCCGTGGCCGAGAACCCTTTCTAGACCATTAAGGTCTAACATGGTTTAAGGCTCTGCTTCTGCAGTGGTGGCCCTCCCCACAGAGGCCGTCTGTGGTCACCTAGGCTGTCTTCTCACCCACTGCCCCAAGACACATCCACCCCCAGCCAGAAACAGCGTGGCCAGGCATCCGGCTCTAGCAAGGACCCCGGCCCAGCCCGGGGAAGCTGCCACATGCCCTTGCCCACCACTGTGTGGATCCTAGGCCGGTTGTCCACCTGTTAACCACAGCGCCTGGCCTCTCTCAGCCCCCATCAGAGTTGGGTGCAAAGCCAGCTCTGTGGTGTGGTCTGTACCTGTCAAGCGCCCCCTCCTCCACACCCCATCTATGAAGTGTTGCAAAGTTGGCAACGCGTGTAACACAGGCTCAGGATTTCTAGCCAAGCGTGACGAGAAGTGGGGTGGGTGGGTCCCTCTTTAGGTGCTAAGGTTGAACTCTGACCAGCATCCTGGGTGTCCACTCTTTGTCCCCCAGCAGAAGAAAGCCTGAGCCCTGAAGGAGGAGTCTCCTAGATGGACAGAACTGCCCCCTGCCCAGGCCTGGAGGGGCAGTGGGGCCATCTGAGTGCCCGCTGGGGGCAGGGGGCGGGACCTGGGGTGGGGCGGGCAGCGTACGCGGTGAGGTGCCAGCCTCGGTGGTGGGCATAAGGTGTTCACTCAGCTGTCTCTTGTCTTCTGTTTCTCTGGCTCCCCTCCCTCTCCCCCTGCCCTGCTTTGGCCCCGGGTTTGGCCTCGGGCAGTGCCAACATACGGCCCTTACGGTAGGTTCCACTGTCAGTCTGTACGTCTGTCCTGCACGCCGGTCCTGGTCCCTGTCACCAGCATGAGTCTCTCCCTGGCTCCTTCTCTGTGTCCCTGTCTCCTCCTGCACAAGCACCCCTGGGCACAGAGAGCATCTGCCAAGGGCTGCCCTCCGTAGAGCTTGCCTGCTTCATCCTATCTCTCATTGTTCTGGAACATGCCCTGTGCATTCTCAGGGCACAGCGCTTGTTGATGGGAAACTGGGGCATTTAGTTCTGTTCTGTGGCAGAGAACGCCAAGGGGGAAAGGGCACGCGAATTTGGGACTGGGGCCAGAGTGGGGCTTGCCCCTTACATCTCAGTGTGGGGGCCTGGGCCATCTCTGCCCCTGCTCCCTCCCTGAGCCCTTGAGGACAGTGTTAGGGAATTAGCAAGGAATATAGAACCTGCCTGCCAATGCAGGAGACATAAGAGATGCAGATTCGATCCCTGGGTCAGGAAGAGCCCCTGGAGAAGGAAATGGCCACCCACTCCAGTAATCTTGCCTGGGAAATCGCATGGACAGAGGAGCTTGGTGGGCTACAGTCCATGGGGTCGCAAAGAGTCAGACACGACTGAGTGATCGAGCACCTCAAGACAGGGGCCCCGCCCTGTCAGAGCGAAGATGTCTGCTCTGCTGTGGGTCCAGGCCCCTGTCAGCCTGTTAGGATGGAGCGGGCCCCTGGTCTGCTCTCCAGAGTGAAGGAGAGCATCCCACAGGCCTGGGCCCTCTCCCCCCACTCCCTGGGGTCCTTGGACTCAGGCCTGAAGCACCCCAGTCTCCACCTGAGCTCCCTTCCCCACTCCCAGATCCCCCCTGCCCCTCATGGCTCTTGACTGTCTCCCTTCGGGGTGCACTGCAGCCAAAGGAGCCGTCCCTTTGCTTGTCCCTTCTCGTGTCGGGGACCCTGTTCTCTGTCCCAAGAGGGGTTGGTTAGATGACACACACTTGGGACCAGGGGCGGAGGCCCAGCTGCCTTGCACCCCGCTGCCCGGACCCCTCACCCCGCCTCCCGCCTCCTCCCCACAGGCCGCTGTGCCCCCATGAAGAGCATCTCCAGCAGCCTCAAGGAGACCATGAACCCCCACGACATCGTGCAGGACGCCATCCACAACTTCTCGCCTGCCTACCAGCAGTACACGCAGCAGTCCACCCTGGAGCCTGGGCCGACCTGGCGTGGGGCCGCCCACGGCCTCTCCCGCTCCCACAGCCTCAGCAGCGGCCGCGACAACGAAAAGACGCTCCTGCTCAGCTCCGACGACGAGTTCTAGGGGCGGCTGCTGCTGGCAGGGGGACGGACCGGCCCCTTGGCCCAGGGCAGGGTGTGCCCCGCCTCCGGCCTCACCTCCAGGCAGGGAGGCCGGCTGGCACAGCCTTGGCATCGCCCTTTAATTTATTGGACCAGAAACACTCACATATCGCTTCAAGAGGAACAGCCCGACGCCGCCGTCTGCCCAGGGAACGGCCCAGGCTCACCCAGGAGCCTTCAGGAATATTTATACAAGGCCACGGCTCTGCTGCCTGGACCACTGGGAGAGGATGGTGGGAGCAACTCCCCGTGCCCCTGTGGCTCGTCCTGTGAGGACCAGCCGTGCCCAGGCCCCGACGCTTGTGTTGTGGACCAGCGGCTGCCGTCTTCTCAGCCCCTCACCTCTCCCCCCTCAAACCAGACGTAAACCCCTCCCCCAAACACCGTGCAATACTCTCCCCCTGGGGCTCCCACCTGCTCCCAACCCTGCCCCCCTGGTCCCATGCTAGATTAGCCTCACCTGGGTGGGAGGAGGGGGCATGGATACTCTCTGCGGATCCTCCTCCCGACCCAGGCCTGCCTGGCATGCTGCAGGGATCAGAGCCAGACACCAAGAGCCATGGGTCCCACCTTGGAGGGCGCCTGGGCGTCCTCCGAGGCTGCCCCTTCTGCCTGCCTCACATCCCTTTCCGTGGGCCTGCTGAGGAGCCAGCAGTGCACACTGCCCTCCCACGAGGGGTCCTTCTTGAGAGCATCTTGAGCAGAGCCCTTGCATCCCAGCTACTCAAAGGGTCAGGGGCTCCCAGCCCTCCTTCCTCTGCTGGAACCTCGTCTCTCCCTGGGGCTCCTTCCTCCTGTTTCACGGGGAGGGCCTGGCCTCTGCATTGCAGACCAGCTTCCGGAGGAGGAGCGCAGGCGGGAGGGATGGGGCGTGTGGCGGGGAGCCCAGAGTTGGGGGACTCCTCTCTGTGGCCCCATATCCACACAGGGCCTGGTGTCCTGCCTCATCTGGCCCCACGGCCCATCTCTTCTGTGCCTTAGTCACATATGAAAGCCCCCCACCGCCCCTGCCCCCGGCTATCAGTCTGACCCAGACACTCCCTGGGGGGCTCCCTGTTAAGCTGCTGGCACTCCGTGGATCCTGTAGTGCAGGGCCAAGTACCCTTGGACAGGCCTCAGGGGTGGCCAGGACCACCAGTCCCCTCCCTTCACCCAACTCCATGCCCACATGCATGGAGCCTCCCAGGCCTGGAGCCCCCAGGCAGGCCAGGTCTTTGGAGGAGCCTCGTGATAATGGGACACAATGCATGTTCATTCAGGCAGAGCGTTCCCGTCACATGAAACCCAGAGAGCACGCGGGTGTGGGCTGCACCAGCCTGGAGGAGGGGAAGGGGAAGGGGGCCCGACCCTGAGGGACCTTGGCATTTCTTAACCTTTTGGCCACTCCTGGACTGAACCATGCCAAGGTCGGGCAGGGAGTTCCATCCCAGGAGTCTTCCCCTGCCTCTTGTGGCAACCAAGCCAGCACTGGGGTTGAGGGGCACAGAGGCTGGCTCGTGGGCCCCATTGGATGAGCCTGGCCAGCTGGTACCGCGCTGTGCAGGAAGGTGTGGGCTGTCCACGGAGAACCTCTGGGCTGCCCCTGTCATTTGCTTTCATGAATTTGATTCTCCTTCCAGGCCAAAGTGTGCTGCTGACCCCCTGTCCTCCACCCCCGTCTTTGCCTGTTCTGGCCCCTGGCCACTTGCAAGGTGGACGGGAGGTGCTTTGTGGCAGGGAGCTAGCAGTCCTTGGGGAGATGGGGGCTGGGAACGTGTGCCCAACCACTCCACCCCTCCTTCCTAGGATGTGTAACCTACCTTGTCTTTTTATTTTTTTTAATTTTTTTTTTCCCAATAGAGTAGCTCTTTGTACATAAAAAATACTTGAAAAATTAATTGTATGATGTATGAGAAGACAGAGTCCCCTAGTTTTGTATCTCGTGTATGACTGCCATGAGTTCCACCAGAAAGCCGCTCTATTTTGGTCTCTGTGACATTTTAAATGCGTGACAGAAGTGAGCAAATACAGTGAGAAAGAAATATATATATGAGATAATATAGATTGTATTGAAATCTCTTCTGCCAATGGGTGAGATTTTTTTCCCCAGCTCCTGTGTGTGTGTTTGGGGGTGGGGTTAGTGGTTGTGGGTTCAAAGGTGTCCTAGGAAACCCTCTTCTGTCCGGGTTGTAGGTATAAGTGATGGGGGGTTCACATTGCCAGACTGAAATTAGGGCCCAGGTTCCCATTGGACAGAGTGTCTCCCCCTCTTCTGGCCAGTGGGACATTGGTCACTAGGGGTCCACCCACCTCGACACCCAGCAGCGGGTTGATGCCTTGTGCTGGCTTCAGTCAACCAACTAAATGGGGTACACTCTCCAGCAGCCCCATTCCTGCAGATGTCTTCCTGGGGGTTTAAAGAATTTCTTGCAATCCTCATGCCTCCTAGTCTATCTCCATGCCTCCAGGAGCCCACCCTCCACCCTGGGACCCGGGGCAGGAGGCCTGGAGCAGGGCCTGCCCAGCAGTGGGCATGCGCGACACCTGGCACCTTCCTGCCATCACTGCACGCCTTCTGTGGCCTGGCCTAGCTGACAGGGGCGCTCAGGAATGTGGCGTGGGCGGGGGAAATTCCCAGCCCTGCCACCCTCCACTGGGTCCCCCGCACGGCTTCCTGCTGTCCTTTTCGCAGGCCTGGGCTCAGTGTCTTGGAATCAGGATCCTGGACCCCAGCCTGAGAGGGGAGACAGGCCTGTGGACCCACCCAGCCAGTGTGGTCTGGCCGTTTCCCAGCTTTCAGGTCCTCCCCAGAAGCATTCTTCTAGCCCAGCCATCCCTCCATACCCAGCCACATTGAACTCCTCCTCCCGGACATCAGGTGCACTGGGGTAAGCATTCAGTCTGCCTGCGGAAGCTTGCAGCCCCTGGCATCCCCAGTGTTTGCCCCATGTAAGACCTTACACTTCTTGAGTTGTACAGATGGGTAAACTGAGGCTGCAAGCAATGACATAAGTCATCAAAGGTCATACAGCTAGAGGAAAACACACCCCAATTTCCCTGACCCCTGGACCACAGAACACTCTTTCCCAGGGTGCCCTGGAAGCACTGGCAGATCGGATTAAATTAACAGGGAAGTCTGGCATGCTGAAGTCCATGGGATCACAAATAGTTGGACACTACTCAGTGACTGAACAACAGCAGGGAATTTGGGGCCTAGGATGAGACCCAGGGTTGCGTTCTAGGCCTGCAGGCTGGGGTTGAGGAAGTCACTTCTCTCTCTGCCTCCCTGTGCCTTTCTGTAACACAAGGAAAATATTTTTTACTTGGCTGTAGAAAGTCAGACCTCAATGTGAAAGTACTGGAACAATTCCTCTTAAATCGGGGAATTTTCCTCTCTGGGTGGGACTGTTTATTTGCTGACGGGATGCCCAGGGAATTTAACCCTACATTTCATTGTTCGCCTGGCTTTGCCTTCCCCAGGGAGGCTCCTTGGCTCCAGGCACCCAGATGGAAGGACAGGACCCTGTCTGGTTCCCACCTCCACCCTACCTCCCCCTTCGCCCCCACCACCACACCCTACCCCAGCGCAAGCCCAGGTGCTAGAGTTAGTGATGGGTCACAGTTTCTTCATCTGCAAATTGGAGGAAACCCCCCACCCATCAGAGGGTTCTGTCTGGGACTGAAAGCAGAATCCATCTTGGGCCCCTCATTCAGAACCCACCCCTGCAAAAAAAAAAATCATAAACCAGGACACATACTTCTAAACTGTGGAAAAAGAGAACTTGACTTTATTCAGGAAGTCTACAAAATACAGAAGGCGGATAACTCGCTTACTGTAAGTCAGAAAAATAAATAAATTCTGGGGGCCGGGCACTTTTCTTTTAAAACACATTTTTTGGTTGTTTTGCCATCCGGCTTTCCCTAAATAAAAGATAAAATGTGTTTTATTTGCAGATATAAAATATAAAGTCCAGCTCAGGGCTGCACACCACTTTTCCCAGGCAGTGGGCGCTAGGCCTCTGGCTGGGGAGAATAACTTAGATTCGTGCAATAAATAAACAGCGGGGAGGGGCAGCTGTCTAATAGGGGAGGGGGAGGGGCTGGGGCCAGACTTCCGAGGAGAATAGCAGTCAATGGCACTGACCCGCCCCCACCCAACAGGATGGACAGGTAGGTCCCTTCCCTTTTTAAGGACCCCTATCCCAGGTTTCAGAACCGTAGGATCTGTCTTCTCATCTCCCCACCTGCCTCTGTGGTCACTTCCTTTGTCCCCTTTCTCTTTGGCCAGCTGCCTGGGTTCAGGGAGAGCCCAGGACAGAGTCAGGCCAGCTCCTTCCCTCTCTTCCATCTGTATCACCTTCTCTTTCCTTCTCTTCACCTGACTCACAGAGAGCCACCTCTCAGACCACGGAGGCCCTTGCATCACCTTTTCAGGCCCCAACCACTGCCCCCAACAATCATGGCTGGAAATCTCAGGGCAGCAGTGCAAAGACATGGTTCCAGCTTAACCGCTCAGCATATGTGGCCTCGGGCATTGTCAGGTCTGCTGGAGGCCTGTTTTCCCCATCTGTGAATTGGGCTTCACTAGGTGATTTCTGATGAGTCTTCCAGCTCTGGAGGGCCAGGCATCCAGGCCCAGAGCAGAGACGGGAACATCAACTTCCCAACTGGACAATCCTACCAGAGGCATGCGGGGGTAAAGTCTGGTCCTGTATCCTGGAGGGTGGGGACAGACCTATGGCACGATCTGAGCAGATACAAAATGAGGGGTGGCCATCTTCCCCTCGATGGCCCTTCTCTAATCAGCTTTGTATCCCATCCTCCCAAACTGAGAAGGCTGAAGTTTTTAGGAAAGGAAACGCCAGACCTCGACCTCACCCGACCTCCTATCTCACCAAAGTTGCCCCTCCCCGGGGCCATTAGGTCCCAGTTTCAGAGACCGCACGAGGAAGACAGGATCTGGGGAGGGAACATGTGTTCACCACGGGGGTAGCTGGTGGCTGCAGAGAAATGGCACTTGGAGACAGAGACGGCGCTTAGGCACTTAGGGAAGGCAGCTGGGGCCGGAGGGGCGTGGTTTGGGAAATGGGCGGGGGTGGAACGGGCGGGACTCGGCGAGCACTAGGAGCAGGCGGCGGGGGCGGGGCCGGGGGCGGGGCCCGGACCAGGGGCGGGGCCCGGGCCGGGGCTCGGGGCGGACTTGACGATGGTGATGACGCTAGCCGGCGCCACCAGCGCCGCCGGCCCACGAGCGGCGGCCACAGAGCGCGCGAAGCCCTGCAGCGCTTCGCACTTGCCGCGCAGCGCGTCGAGCTCCAAGCGCATGGCGGCGTTCTCGCGCGCCAGCTTGTCCACCTCGCGCTCCAGCTCCGACTTCTGCTTCTGCAGCTCCTCCTTCTGGCACACGCGCTTCACGCGGCAGCTGGCCGCGTAGCCGCGGTTCTTGAGTGTGCGGCGCCGCTGCTTGAGCCGCGTCACTTCCTCGGCCGAGAGCCCTCGCAGGTGCCGGTTCAGCTCGCGCACAGACAGCCCCATCAGCGCCTCGTCTGACAGGTGCGGCGTGTTCTCGCTCAGCTCACGCTTGATCTGCGGGCGTGGGCGCGTGGGGAAACTGAGGCTCAGGGTGACACTCTACACTGCGGGCCCTGAGCTCTGGACCCGGCGCGCAGCAGGTGCTGGGGTCGGCCTCCCCTCCACCGCTAGTGTTCCCCCTTCCCCGCCAGGGAAACTGAGCTGGTGGTGGACTTGCTCCAAGACTCCGAAGGGGAGCAGGAATCCCCAAAGCGGAAACCGGGTGAGACCGGGATCTGGATACAAAAGGAGCCACCTTAGAGCTGAGTCCGGATTTTAACCCAGCGACTCGGCCTGGACTCAGCCAGAAAAGCCCAAGAAAGCACTTTTAAAGTCCAGCTGCTCCGTGGACGTTGTCCTCATGGGGAAGTAGGTCCAGAGAGGGAAGTGACCTGCCCTGGGGCACACAGCCTATGGCCAGAGCCCAGGCTTGCTGGTTCCCAGCCAGGCCGGGCCTGAAAAGGCCCCATGATTGGCTTCATGAATGCCTGATGTCTGCTGAGGCCCTCTTGGGGATTCTAGGGACTGAAGGGGAAGTTGGGATGGGAGCTCAGCCTGGGCAGGGAGGGAGGGGAGGCCTGGAGACAATAAGGGCTGCCTTCTCACCTTCAGCGCTTTGCTGGATAAGGGATCCACAGACATGTTTGCAGAAGGTACCCTCTGGGCTAAGACCTAGGGGAGAGAGGAGACCAAAGTCAGTTTTTCTCCCACTTGGAATGAAATCCAAACACTACTATCTTCGCATTCAAGGCCCCTGCTATCTTAGAATTCATCTCATACCACTTCCCTTGGCCCCAGTGGTCCAGCTACAGTGGCCTCATTGAATGGTTCATTCCAGCTTCAGGGCCTTTGCACTTTCTTGGCTTTTTCTGGCTCTTGGGTTTTTCTTGGGTTTACTGTTCTCTTCCTTTTTATCTTCTCAAAGTCTCTTCATCATTTAGATCTTTGCTCAGTGTTACCTCTTCAGAGAGGCTAAAACACCCCTTGTACCATATCACATAACCCCATTTACTAACCCCCAGGCTCCTTTCACACCACTGCCCTCCTCTCTTCTGCCCTCCAGTCACAAGGAATTTCTTTCACTTCCTCTCACCCCATGCTTTCTTGCCTTTGGGTCACGCCAAACCTTGTGACACTTCCCCTCTCACTCCCACTTTATTTGGCAGGCTCCTACTATTCAGCCTTCTGCCCTGAGCCTGGACATCTCCTCCTCCAGGAAGGCCTCCCAGACTCCTAGGACTTATTCAGCACCGTCCACCCCGGCAGTTCTGCCCTCTGTTGTAATGGTCTGTTTCCTTGACTCCCCACCAGACAGGGGCCTCCACAGCCAAGAACCAGGCGCAGACAGCTCTGGGTGTGAGGCTGCCAGCACAGGGGCTGGCAGGGAGCAGGCACTGGTGAGGTGTGGATTGGTGGGTCTATGACACTGTCTGTCACCCAGCTTGTCAAGGTCTGAACCTTGTGCCAAGCCCAAACCCTGCTGAAGACCATCGAGAGAAAAACCTCCTGGCCCTGCCTTCAATTCTTCCTCCTTTCTATCTGCTTCTGCATGGCAGGGCTGGCACACAGATACCAGGAGGATGGGAGGGAGAAGAAGGGATTCTGTCTTCATAACTGGCTCCCAGGGAGGGTATAGGAAACAAGGAAAGGAACAGTGGATGAAGGGTCAAGCCTGGTTTGAGTCCCATCTCTGTTTTCTCCAGGCTGTGTGACTGTGGGCAAGTCACTCCTCCCCTCTGGGTCTCCACTTTCCTGTCTGTAGGTTGGGAATAATACCTGTCTCACAGGGTTTTGATGGAACCAAATAATGCAAACTGGAGAGGTCAGTGAGCACCATTAGAATTGCTGAGTCTGTCCAGGAGGGGTCGGGCCTGTAGCAGTTCCTGGGACCTCGCTTTGACTTGGCGTCTCCTGGCTGGCCAAGGTCACACAGGAAAGGCTCTTAGAGACTGTCTGGCCCCTGCCTCCTCACTTCACCCAAGGGGAGGTAGAGAACAGAGAGAGGCCCCTCTTGCCTGAAGTCACACAGCAGGTGAATGGCTGCCTTCTCCTAAATCAGGAGGAATTCTGAACACGTGTAAAGGTCCCAGGACTGAATCCTGATTGCCTTCACACCATCAGTACCCCAGTTCTCCCAACAACCCTGTGAGGTAATGGCCAGAGAGGTCAATAGAGTAGTCCAGGGTCACACAGCCAATAGTGGATAAAGCCTGGGACTGAGGCCATATGGAGCCACATGTCTCCTCGCAGTGAGGTCCTCACAGGGCACCCTCTCTGGGCCCTGTTTCCCCACCCCTGTAAAGAGAAGGACTCGCCCGGCTCCAAGGCTACCCAGCTATGATGTGCCAGGATCTGTGCTGGGTCTGCAAGTGTCATACAGATATCCAGGCCTCCTGGCTGGCTGTTTAGGGGGCTGGGGTATTACCTGATGCTCAGGCAGTCTGCGCTACTCAGAGAGCCTGATGGGAGAGGTGATCTAAGAGCCTGCTGGGTGCTGAGCAATATGTGGTGGGTGACCGATGCAGAACTCCGGAGGTATGGCCCCTAGGACAAGGCATTTTTCCTCCCTGGACCTTGGTTTCCTTACTTACACAGTGGGGACAATCATCGTGGTGTTCGTGTGTAAAAACAAGAGGGTTAGAAAGATCAGAAGTGGCAAATGGTTGGTTTATCTCCCCCACATTCCTCCCTCTACTCGTAACACGGACATCAATAATCAATTACCGCACTTTTTCTCACTGAGGTTGGACACAGCTCCTGAATCTTTCTCAACACAGCGCTGTTTTCCACTGAGCTTGGACATAACCTTAGACTCCTCCTCAACACAGCCCTCCAGAGTAGGCCCAAGAGATAACTGTTGGCCATGCCCTATACTAGATAATGACTGAAGGTCCCATCCTCTCTGCTGGCTGCGATTCTAGGTACTTTGGGACCCCAGGGAGACTTTAAACCTGTTCTTGCCTCCTTTCCTCTTTCTCCTCCTGTCCTAGCCTCAGCCCCTCAAACACATGCTACATGTCAGCTGAGGTACCCATGTCTGCCCAGGAACATCCTAGCTCAGCAGAATCAGGCAGTCACGGAGGGAAAGTCACAAGAAGGTCACATTGGCTGATAACCTCAGACTTTCAGCTCTCCAACTCAGACCGGGAGCTGCTGGGCTGTCAACCAAGGGGCCGGGGTCCTCCTCCAGGCAGCCTCGGCCAGTGTGGTTGACCTTGGGCCTGAGACAGCAACTGATCCAATCTCCTTGTTCAGTAACTGTTTGGTGGCAGTGGTGGACTGGAACCCTGGAGTCCCCAGCTCAGGGCTCTTTCTTCAAAGCCAGCCATTATACTCCCCTCTCTGAAGGATGAGTCGGACACGACTGAGCAACTGAACTGAATACTCCCCACGTCCAAACCCTGCTTCTTCCCTTCCTGAGGCCAGCCAGCAGCCCTGACCTCCAGGGTCTGCAGGTTCCTAACATTCCCTGGAGGCATGGCTTGGGGGATTGACAGCCACATTGCCCAGTCAGCAGCCACGGCCCCTGGCCCCCTAGTCCACTCAGAGGCATCCTGGAAACGGCCCACCCGCTGGCATGGGCTCCTCTGGCTGCTGAGCCATTTTTGCTTCCTCTGTGAGGACAGAGGGAAAAAATGTGTTTTCCTGGGCCTTGGCAGCCAGCACTGGTGGAGCCTCCTCCCTGCTGGAAGGGGAGCAGGGCTGGGAGAACCCAGCACCACAGGGAAATAGCAGCCTGGGGGTCTACCACCCACTAACACTTGCTGTGTGACTTCAGGTACACCACTCCCTCTCTCTGGGCCCAACACGCAAACCATCAAGCCTACAGTACCTCCTAGCACTGACAGTGTCAAAGTTTAGAGAGTTAGATTCTGGCCTGGAATGGAACTCCAAGACCACCAGCAGAGTAGAGGCCCTGGAGCAAGGGAAGGAAAATCAAGGAAGACTTCCTGGGGGCAGGGGCCTGAGAACACAAACTCAGAGACTATCAGCCTTGACTCTCCCTCTGCTCCATGCCTAGCCCTTAAGCATTTCCTCTTTCAGCTGCACTGTGACCAAAACCACCTGCTCTCTGGCATCCAGTCTTGCCTGCCTCCACCTCTGACCCCACCAGCTCTCCTCCCTGTCAGAGGGATCATTACTGACACAAACCTACAAACCTGACCATGTTCGGCCCATTTCAAAACCCTATGATGCAGCCTCCCCTCTAGTCCATGTGGTAGGCCCTTCTGGCCACCACCACGTTCTCTCCCCACACTCTTCCAGGATCCCCATGCTGACAACAAACGAATGAGCAGACAACAAACTCTTACCATCCCCACACATTCCCAAAAGGGACACACGGGGTGCATCTAACAGGAGATGTCACTTGAGCCCTGCAGGATCTGCTTGCTTTGCAGAAACTGCTTCAAGAATCCTATAGCCTGTGCCCAGGAGTTCTTGCTCACCTGGGGTTCCCAGGCCTTTTTCTCTAGGTGTTGTGGAGTTTTACCAGGACACTGACCCAGGGCTCATTCATTCAATCAGCAAACACCCAAGAAGCACCTACCGTGTAGGTCCCAGGCTTGGTGCTGCACCCTGAAGGCCCAAAGTTGAATCAAAGCCCCTGCCCTGAAGGTCTTCACAGATGATTATCACTTGATCTGACATTCTGCCTGACTGTCACCTCCTCAGGGAAGCCTTCCTTGATTGCCCTGGCTAAGTCAGAACTGTGTTATGTACTTTGTAATCACAGTGTCTTCCTCCTCATACCACCCATCTCAGCTGTGGTTTTGCATTTAGTTTAGTGGCTCTTTCCTCGACTTTGTCTTCCTTCCTTGACTGTAAGCTGGATCTGATTTGTTCACCATCTTATCCCCAGCATCTAGTCTTTGGTGGGCTCCATGGCAACGCAGGCTAAAAGTATTAGGACTGAGGGAGGCACAGGGGCCAAGGGAGCCCTCACTGGGTCCTGGGCCCTACTGAAGGTCCAGGGGTGATTCAGTGGGAGGTTAAACCTTTCCATCTATGACGGAGTCAATCGGCCACTTCCTCTTGTTCTCTGCTCCCTAACCCTGCTCAGGGATGTTTCCTGCCCAGTTTTGAAGATCGGCCTGCCTGATTCCTGTGCTCCTGGCGGCTACCTCCCTTACATATTCCACATATTCCTGGACATCCCTGGCCTCCGCCTGGGGCTGTTGCCTCTGTTTTCTCTTGTATGGTTCCCCTGGAAATTAGGCTGTATGTGGAGGCTGTCACACCTCCCCCAGCCCACTGCCATCCTACCACCTTGGATGTTGCCTAGTTGCTGCTACAGATGGGGACACAGAAGTTACCAGCTGTGCTGGCAGCTCAGAGATTCAAAGTTAAAAGATTATCTGGTCCAGCTCAATGCCCTCCCCCACATACCCCATGATCCTGTAGTCCTGTGGGCAGGAGGAAGAGAGGGCAGAGTAGGACCAAGGAAGCCCCAGGCCCCAGCCCAGCCCTCAACATCCCTCAGCAGGGCGCTGATGGAGCAGGGGCAGGGTGAGGTGGTGGTGGGAGGGCCCAGCCGTCTCACAGTAACCCCTCCCGCCCCAGGACAAGTAGTCCCGCTGCCTGTTAACCAAGCCTGGCCCAGGTCCTCAACTAGCTCCTCAGGTCCAGTCATCGATAGCTCTGTGTGATTAGTCCCACTTGTAAACTGAAAC